AAATATATTTTAAATCAACAACTTTCTCTGGTTTGACGACCACGTCGAAATACTATGCAAATAACACCACAACAATTTCACAATAACATTTCAATAATATCACAATAATACCACAAAAAACACCGTAATAATAGAATATATTCTGTATATTTTCATTTTGGGCATTTACATACATACCACCCAATTTTTCTATTTACGTATCTAGCACCTATACTTTTAATTTTTGACATTTACATTACCAAAGATTTTTATATCACATTAAAAATACCACCATTTTAATTTTTAAAACTTGAAATAAACTTTTTCATCCACAAGATCGATGACTTGCATGAAAAATTGATGTTTAGGTGCTAAATATGTAAATACATAAGAATTGATAGGTTTGTATATAAATCTTCCTTTCATTTTTTGATAACTTACACAACCAAAATTGTAATAACATCTAAACCACAGTAATACCACTCAAATAACATCGAATCAGGTCTGATCATACGTTAAAAGATATAACTTTTTATTTTTTATTCAGTAGGTATGCCGTGACAAAATTTAGGGTTTAGCCCCAAAATTTCATCGGAGTCCCGACTCCTTAATGTGCATTGTAACTTTTCTATTCTACAGTACTGTATTTTACCAGGCTCTCAAAAGTCTACAGTTGTGTGCTGCTACGACAGTTTTCAGCTTCAACCGCTACAGTGGCCCATTAAATATCATTCAGCGCCTTATGGTTTTGTACCATTTGACGCCATCGGGGAATATCGAGCTGAGAGTGACAGAGAGCGAAGGGAGGAGTAAGATGAGGCCTCAATAAAATCTGATTTCATCAGATAATATTAGTAGATTTTTGTTTATGTTATTTAGAGATTTTGATGTTATATAAATACATATAAAGATGTTGATGCTCCATATGTAGATATGTACGAATTATGAGGTAGTTATGTTTTGTATATTTTCATAATGGGCATTTACATACATACCACCCAATTCTTCTATTTACATAGCTAGCACCTATACTTTAATTTTTACATTTATATCGCCATAAATTTTACCACATAAAAAATAACATCACTTTAATTTTTAAAAATTGGAAAAAACCTTTTCATCCATAGGGTCGATGACGTGTATGAAAAAATTGATGTCTGGTGTTCGATATGTAAATACATAAGAATTGAGTGGTAAATATGTAAATCTTCCTCTCATTTTTGGACAACTAATAGTCGAATACCACGACAAGCATCATAATACCACTCAAATAACACAATAATAATACATTAATAATAGTCGAATAACACTGCAATAATACAATAATAACATTATAATAACACTTAAATAATAACAGTTGAATATTATTGCAGCCGTCACAATACCACTCAAATAACACCATAATAATATTACAATAGAACCTCAATAACATCACAATAATACAACAAAGAAACACCATAATAACATAAAATGTTATGTATATTTTTATTTTGGGCATTTACATACATCCACCTAATTTTTGTATTTATATATCTAGCACCTATACTTTAATTTTTGCATTTATATTACCAAAGATTTTTATATCACACAAAAAATACCACCATTCTAATTTTTAAAACTGGAAAATAAACTTTTGCATCCACAAGGTCCATGACTTGTACGAAAAATTGATGTTTAGGTATTAAACATATAAATACGTAAGAATTAAGTGGTATGTATGTAAATCGTACTTTCAATTTTGGATAACTAACACAACCAAACTTACAATAATATCTAAAACACGGAGAAAATATTGCATCAGGACTCCGCACGTAGAGTTACATGCGGAGTCCAATGAAATCACGTCACGTGGTGGTGAAAGGAAGAATAAAATAAAATATGGCCGATAACAGAAGAGAATATTCATTCCGTGTTATTCATGTTATTTAGTGTTATTCATATGTTAGTGTATATTATTCAAGTGTTACCCAAATCGAATATGATCATACATTAAAATATAAATTTTTTTATTTTTTATTTAGCAGTAAGCGGAGATAAAATTTAGCATTTAGCCCTAAATAAAATTTCATTGGAGTACGGAATGAGCATTGCAACTTTTCTTGTAGACAGCCGTGTGCTGCTACCCGCTAGAGTGGTCCATTAAATACCGTTCACCGCCTTAGGGTTTTGTACCGGGTGACGCCGTCGGGGAAGATCGATCTGAGAGTGAGAGAGAGCGAGGGGAGGAGGAAGATGAGGCCAATTCTGATGAAGGGGCACGAGAGGCCCCTGACTTTTCTCAAATACAACCGTGAGGGCGATCTTCTGTTCTCTTGCGCCAAAGATCATAACCCAACCGTCTGGTTTGCGGATAATGGCGAGCGACTCGGAACCTATCGAGGTCACAACGGAGCTGTCTGGTGCTGTGATGTTTCTCGTATGTTTTCATACTCTTATACGTTTTGTCAAATCTGCGATTTTCCTGTTCTGATTTTTGTTCTGTTCAATAATATCGCGTGATTGACGAAGCTGGGGCATCTCTGGATTGTACTATGCGTTGCACTTTATATTTTTGTCTACTTACTTTGTGCTGCTTATTCTTTTTTATTTTATCAAGCATCGGCTAATGAGTGGCTCCAATTTATGTCTTTTGTTGGGATTGGGTTGTTTTGGCAAGGAAGCGCCAGCGCCCTTTCTTCTAGAAAAAAAAAAAAAAAACTTAGAATTTCTCATTTCCATGTTTTAATTACTGATCTAAAGCCATTTTTTAAATGATTAGGTTAATGGTTTAACATTGCATTCTGGGAGAATTTTTTTATTATGAAAGAACGGATTTATAAAGTAAGGCAACTTTGTAGTTTGTTCTTCTGCTTTTTCCTTCTGTCCGGATCAATTCTTCTGAGATATAGTTTGTATTGATTTATAAAATTGACTCTAACGCATCTGATAGGTCATGCTTGATGAAAATTCTTTCTAAACATATGAATTTCTTCTTAATACATTTGGCCTTCGTTTAGTATTAATAATGTTTCTTTGATGTTTTTTCGTTTGCTCAATGCTATCTATGTTCCATGTAGGGGATTCCAGGCGCCTCATTACGGGTAGTGCAGATCAGACTGTTAAGTTATGGGACGTTCAGTCAGGAACCCAACTCTATTCTTTTAACTTCGACTCTCCTGCTAGGGCTGTGGAATTTTCTATTGGAGATAAGCTTGCTGTTATAACTACAGACCCTTTCATGGAACATACGTCTACCATACAAGTGAAACGGATTGCAAGAGATCCCAATGAACGTATGAATCATTTGTCAGCTTTTTATTTTTGATTAATCTTATTACTCCATGAATGCTAGGATTGTGCTAAAGTTGATTTGCTTGTCACTTTTTTCTAAATTTTTGTTACTTCAGAGCCCATCTCAAATTAGAATAAAACTTTTTTGATATAACATGGTAACATTTTATTTAATTCAGATAAAATGGAAGTACCCTATTTCATTATTTATAATTAATAGTTAAATGACATTGCTTTCAATGTTGTATCATCCATGGCAATTGCTGTTAAGTTTGTCTATAATTATTCCAAAAAAGATCTGTAAATGTAGATAGCATATGATACTTGATTTTGGTAGTGGCCTGCCATCATCCAAGTTGACTTGTGATCTCTCAATTATCAATTGAACATACATAAACAATAGAATATTTTAAAGAGATTCTTGTTAGTGCTTTCATGTTCCTGATTTGACTACATAAAACGAACTTTTATATTTTATGTCACTTGCAGGATATGGTTAATCCCCATATGTAACATGCTTTTTTTTTTCATGAATTCTACAAATTATGGTTATTTTAGTTATTGAAAATCCTTCAGATCAAAATTGATACTTAAATGACTAGTTTATGCAAGGTTTGCTTATTTTCCTTAATATTGTTCTTGATTTTGGATAGTGAAAATGTTACTTAGATCTCTGTTTTATTATGTTTTGTTTAATAGAGATTGGTGATTCTATTCTTACGATTAAGGGCCCTCAAGGGAGGATCAATAGGGCTGTTTGGGGACCTTTAAATAAGACTATTATAAGTGCTGGTGAAGATACATTTGTCAGGATATGGGATTCTGAGGTCAGTTTAGTTTTGCCTTTTCATATTAGTGGATTTTTATATCTATTGTATTACTTTGAGCTTTTATCTTAAACTGATGGTTTTTTTCCCACATGCATATGTTTCCTTGCTATTTTTGTGGTTGTGAGTTTAGAAAGTTATACTGATATTATATCATCCATAATTATGGCAATGCGATCTGCTTTATAACTGAGATTGCATAGAGGTGTTGAATGAGATTGTGATAGTGTTCCATTAGGCTTTTGGCCTGTATGTAATGTTATAAAATATATCTTCCCAAAATATGGCTAGTTAGGGTCCTGCCAATATGCATTCTTATTTGGATTTATGAATGAAAGAATAGGATTGGATTGCCTTTTGTGTTTTCTTTCAGAGTTTTGTATGTTTCTGATTTGTTTTTCCTTCATTTTGTAGACTGGCCAGCTTTTGAAGGAGTCGGACAAAGAGACTGGCCATCAAAAAACTATTTCTTCACTAGTAAAGTCTGCTGATGGCTCTCATTTCCTCACAGGTTCCTTGGATAAATCAGCTAAGGTTTGTTTTAATAACTTTTTTTTAATGTTAATTGCATTTTTTTTCTGCTTTGTTTTTTTAGTGCCCGTAATGATTTTTGTTTGTTTTTTTGTAAGCTTTGGGACTCAAGAACATTAACTCTTATCAAGACGTATGTGACAGAGCGTCCGGTAAATGCATGTGCTATATCTCCGCTTCTTGATCATGTAAGCAACCATTTTGGATTTTATGACATTTAAAAGCATTTTTTTTGTAGCAACATTATCTTGATGGGGTGCAACTCTTTAAGTAGCTCTTGGGGAAGGGTAAATGTTCAAGGCTTTACTATTTCGTTACAATAGCAGTGTTTTCATAACTCAAAAACAAAATCTCTTGTAATGGAAGCAATATGCCACTATTGTTTGCCCACCTTCTAGTATATCACTACTTTTTTTTTGTTAAATCATACTTTTTTT